CGGGCTCTGTTCCCAGGGAACGGGCGATGGGATGAGGGGAAATGGTCTCAAGTTGCGCCAGGGCAGGGTTAGGTTGGACATTGGGAAAAACTTCTTCCCCAAAAGGTTTGTCAGGCACTGGAAGGGGCTTCCCAGGGAAAGGGTTGAGTCCCCATCCATGGGGGTATTTAAAAGCTGGGCAGACGAGGTGCTCAGGGCCAGGGTTTAGTGGTGGGATGGCAGGGTTAGGGTAACAGTTGGGCTTGATGATCTTAAAGGTCTTTTCCAACCTAAATGATTCTATGATTCTATGAATCCCCCCAGATGTATTGCATGAGGTATATATTGTAGAAGATACGGTATATGAACTTCACAGGTCACATAATATTTGGTACTGAAATATTTCTTCTTGTCTCAACCCCTCTATTACATCCTGCAGTTCTGCCTGAACTTGCCCGAATGCTTAATATTCCCTCGAGGGGCATCACTTGGCAATGTAACCTTTTACGGTTATGTCAGGAATGAGGTGCACACATGGAAGTGAAGTGCAGGAAACATCGTTATTTCTCAACACGGCAGGAGTCAGTGGGTAGCTGGCCACCAACTGTTGAGGTTCCTCTAAAAAGGAAAAGCTTTCAAAACCTGAAATGTCTTGCTGATGTTTTTCAAGCCTTAACCAATACCTTGACAAAAATTCTGGCTTCACTAAACAGTATATTGCTTGCTATGAATGGCCAAGTGTCACCACTGTCCTGGTCCTTGTCCCTGGCAGCCACAGGCACCAGCAGAAGCAGACACTTATGGAGGTCTGTGCTGGGCAGTGTGTCCCTTGTGTGGGCACTACTCATCCTGGAGACCCTGGACTCCTTCTCATCTTGGCCCAGCACACTGTAACCTTCCAGCTTTGTGTGTTGGTTTGTAAAAGGGCTAGTCTTGTATGGGCTCCAGATGGAAGAAGAGGAGGACGCATCCTGTTTCCTCCCTGGAAACTGGGAAATGTTAAAATGTAGATTACTCTCAGCAAGCTTGCGAATGACACCAAACTGGGAGGACTGGCTGATATACCAGGGGGTTGTGTTGCCACCCAGAAGGACCTTGACAGGCTGGAGAAATGCACTGGCAGGAACCTTATGCAGTTCAACATGGAGAAGTTCAATGTCCTACACCTGGGGAGGAACAATCCACACACCAATATATGCTGGGGGCCACCCAGCTGAAAAGCAGCTTTGCAAGAAAGGACCTGGGGTCCTGGTGGACACCAGGCTGAGTGTAAGCCATGAATGGTCCCTTGTGGCAAAGGTGGCCATCCTGAAGGTATCCTGGGCTGCATTAGGCCAAGTATTGCCAGCAGGTTGAGGAGGGTGATCCTTCCCCTCTACTGAGCACTCGTGAGGCCACACCTGGAGTACTGTGTCCAGTCCTGGGCTCCCCAGTCCAAAACAGGCATGGAGATACTGAAGAGGCCCAAGATGATGAAAGGACTGGAGCATCTCTAAATGCCTATGATGAAAGGCTGAAAGAGCTGGGACTGTTCAGCCTGGAGAAGAGAAGGCTCAGGACAGGGGATCTTATTAATGTGTATAAATACCTGAAGGGAAGGTGCAAAGGGGATGCAGCCAGGTTCTTTTTAGTGGTGCCCAGTGCCAGGACGAGAGGCCATGGGCATGCACTGAAACACAGGAGGGTCTGTCTGCACACTGGGAAACACTTTTTTACTGTGAGGGCAACCAAGCACTGGCACAGCTTGCCCAGGGAAATTGTGGAGTCTCCATCCTTGGAGATATTTAAAAGCCAGGTCCTCAGCAAACAGCTCTGGGTGGCCAACTTGAGCAGAGGGGTCAGACCAGATGACCTCCAGAGGTCCCTCCCAGCCTCAACCAGTCTGTGATTCTGTGAAACTACATGTCTTTATTGAAGCTGGGAAAAGCAGCCTCTGCTGCTTGTAAACAACATCAGGCCCATGATAGGATGTCTCCAGCCCATGAGCACCCAGCAGGAGCAGTGCTTCCACTCCTGCTTTCACACCATGGGGACAGCAGAGGCAGAGAAGGGAGAGGACATCAGGAGCCAGTTCCAGGAGCCAGAAGTCAGAGGGATGTCCTGCTCAGAAAGTTCAGGGGTTCGTCACCATTTCCTGCATAAGCAAAGCACAATATGTGGTCACCGATATTTATTTCCTATGTTCTTTCTTCGTCTTCCTCCAGTCTCTCTGCCACTTTTCCTATTATAAGGACCCGTGGGGAATTACTAGACAACCCCTCCTCAGCTAAACTTGGACCTCTAGTTTCCTTAGTGGTTGCAGCCTTGAACCCAAGGCTCTTCAGAAACCTCAAGGAGATGGTCCCACGCCCCACACTACACAGAGATCAAACTTCACATTCCAACAGTATGAGAAAGTCTTCATGAAATACCCAAGCCTGTTCTCATGAGACTGAGGGGGACTGGGAAGATGCTGGCTGAATTAGGGCTTCTTTGGGCCCACACGGGGCAGGTTCAAGCAATTTTACCAAGGAACTTTAACCTTCCTACCATGGCCTCTGCCTCTCAACATGAGGAGGGTGTTATCCAGCAGTGTGGATGTAAAGAGAAAAGCAGATCTATTTTGGCCAAGAAAGCAGAGGGCCAAATCCTGAATGTTTGACTTTAGAATTTACCTTTTGCAGCAAACCATAAAAGTTGAACACCTTCCGAAGATGTGATAAGGGTGATAGCATGTCAAGAAACTACAGAATCCCCCTTCTTGCTTACATTGACTTTCACTTTGTGGACCCAGAGTTGCACCTGTACAGAGAAACAGTTGAAAGGAAAAGATAATTTGGGAGAATATTCTGTAATTCCAGGAGGGCTGGCACTCCACTAGGATTTCAACCCACTTTGTGGGCCACGTATTAAAATGACCATAATTGCACCTTCAGCAGCAAGCTAACTACCTACAAGGACTATCAGCTGAAGCCCTGAGACACAGGTATCCCTGGCCATTTGTGGTACAAACAAATATTTTCCATCCTCCCACTGTCCCTGCAAAAGGAGCAGCTCATCCATAAAGCCCTGGCTAGCTCATCCAGCTTGGGTTAGAGAGCTTTGATATCTCAGAATCACACACATCTAGGGGTCCTCAAAGGTGCTAAGTATCTGTGATTAGACAACAGATTTCCCCATACATTTTTTGGGTGAGCTGCATAGGCTGAGACTTCAGCTATTGCAATGGGAGCTCACCCAGAGACACCCCCCAGAGCAGCAGCTAAATGCCCAGGCTGGAG